TCCTCGGAAGGAAGGTTGGGCAATCCTACTTCTGTAGTGATACTGCCTCGGAAACCCAAGGAGGGGTCGCTATGAGTCAGGGCTGACTCGATGGCACATAACAACATAACAACAACAAGTATTTGGTTATTGGATGCAGTGGGAGAAGCAACAGCAAGCCCCCCAAACCTTCCTCCCTTTGTGTTTTTGTACTCTCTATAGATTTGAGGTTCCTTGGAGGGTAGTAGAAGGAGGGCGAGAATGAAGGAGAGTAGTTGAGAAAAGGGAAGAAGGGAGAAGCAATTGGGAAAGGGTATGGGGTTAATTTTGTTCCATTTAACATATAACAAAAATCTGGCTTCTCTTTTATTAATACCTTGTGCCCAGCTAGCAACTCTTAGAAACTAAATTCCAGGTAATAACAAATGCTGATAAATTAGAGCAGAAAAATACAGGAGGGAATTGATGATTGTGTGAAGAAACAGCCTATTCTCTATTTATGCCCATATGAGAAATACATAATATGATAGCAAATTGTAGAAATTTTTATGTGGGAACAGCACAGAGTAATTTTGTAAATGATATCATGGCCAGAGCTCTCCATCTGTAGCCTATATTATGGGAAATAGCACATTTTCTTTTATTGGAAAATTATTTCTCAAGTATTTGTATTGGCCCTTGATAATCTTCCTTATTTTAAAATTTAAGAATAATGCACTGCTCAAATACTTTATTGTCTATTTTACTGAGTGTATATATACAGCACATTTTAGTGATAAGCTTTCAAGGATTAAAAAATTGGTTGGTTTTACATAGTAGGTGTTGGAAATAATTTTGGTAATGACTTTTCAACTTGGATTTGCTTGTCATTTTCAGCATCATCTGTTCAATCTTAAAATGACTTGATGTTTGTGCTTAAACTCCATATACCACTCACTTTGTTACAGATGTGTGTTTAGTGGCCAGATAGAGACAAAATGATTTTCGTTTGGAGGTGATACATGGATTTATGAATGTAATTATCAACAGACTTTTTTAAGGAAACCTTACCATGATTTTTTTTTAAATTTTATTTTGTTCTTGTTGAAAATACGCACAGCAAAGCATACACCAATCAACAGTTTCTGCATGTACCATTTAATGACATAATTACATTTTTCGAATTGTGCAACCATTCGCACTCGTATTATCTGAGTTGTTCCTTCCTCATTAACATGAACTCACTGCCCCCTAAGGTTCTTATCTAATCTTTCAAGTTGCTGTTTTCAATTTGATCTCATGTAGATAGTTTTGAAAAGAACATAAGGCAGACTTTAAAATTTTTACTAGTAAAGCTAAACTGTTTTTCAATTTTAAGATTACTTCAGGGAATAAATTTGGTTTAAAGTGTACAGATTATCTTGACAATAGTTGAAGGCATTCATCCATCCTCCATGGTGCCAGGAAGTCTAAAGTACATGAGTCTTAAAAAATCTGTTCTGCATTTTCCCCCTTTCTTTATGTGGGAACAGCACAGAATAATTTTGTAAATGATAATCATTTACAAAATTGGATCTTTGATCAAAATGTTCAGTAATGATAGCTGGGCACCATTCAGTTCTTCTGGTCTCATGGCAAAGGAGTCAGTTGTTTCTGGAGGCAGTTGACCACAGATTCCATACCCAACTCCTGTTCCTGGCTCCACTTCTTCCTGTGTTGTTCTAGGTGAATAGAGACCAACTGTGACTTGGGTGACCATTTGCAAGATTTTAAGAACCCAGACACTTAGTACACTAGGAAGTAGAACAGAAGCACTAAACACATAATTAGGCCAATTAACTCGGATGTCCCATGAAAATGTGACCCTAAACCTCCAAACCAAAAACTAAATCCCACGAGGTATTTGGTTGTAAATAAGCAGCCTCAGGAGCTATACTTCTTTTTTTTTTATTATTTTTGGTAATTTTTGTGACTATACCTATCACATGACTTGGCCAGTTCACTTTCTTATAGTTACATGGCTTATTGACAGCAATTGTAATAATCAGCTGTGTAACTCTACCCTTAATGTATTTTTCCATCATTGTTAAATTTCCTTTTCCCCTCCCTCCTGTCCCTGGTAACCATTAAGAAACAGTGGTTTCTATACATTTGCCTTTTCTTGTCTTATATTAATGTAAGTGAGGGTCTACAATATTTGTCCTTTTATGATTGGCTCATTTCACTCAGCATAATGTATTCCGTCCATCTGTAGCATGTATTAAGCTTCATATCTCCAACCGGATGAGTAGTTTTTAATTGTATGTATATACTACATTTTGTTTATCCATGCATCTGTTTATAAGAATTTAGGTTGTTTCTACCTTTTGCCTATTGTGAGTAGTGCTGCAACGAACATGGGTGTACAAGTCTGATATTTGAATCTCTGTTTTCAAGGCTTTGGGGTTTATACCTAGGAGTGGAATTGCTGGGTCATATGATAGTTGTTAGTTTTTTTAAACTGTTGTTGTTGTTGTAACTACCACACTGTTTTTCACACCAGCAGTGCTATTTTACATTTCCAGTAGAAATGGATAAGGGTTCCAATTTTAGCTATCTTAGTGAGAGTGAAATGGTTATCTTATTGTGGTTTTGACTGGTTAATGGCTAATGATGAATATCTTTTCATGTCTTTGATGGCCATTTGAATGTCCTGTCTGGCAAAATGTCTGTTCAAGTCCTCTGCTCATTTTATGATTTGGTTATATGTCTTTTTGTTAAGTTGTCAAAGTTTTATATGTGTTTTTATTAGATTCTTGTTGGATATATGATTTCTGAAGCTATTCTGCCAGTTAGCAGCTTTTCACTTTTTGAGTAAAGTCTTTTTGTGAAGAAAAGTTTTAATTTTTATGAAGTCTAATTTATTTTGTCTTTTGCTGTTTGTGCTTTTGTTATTATATTAGATGATCCATTATTGAAAGGTAAACATGACGGCATTGCCCCAGACAATATGCAGTGAACTAGGAGGTAGAATAGAAGCGTTAAATTCTTCCAAAATTTTATAAAATTCTCCTAAGAATTTCATATTTTTAGTTTGCACATTTAGGTCCTTAATCCATGTGAATTTGTTTCTGTGTATGGTGTGAGTCATGGATCCTGTTTCATTTTTCTGCATTTGGAAAAACATTTTTCCCAATACTATTTGTGGAAGAGGCAGGCTCTTCTTTTCTCCGTTTATTGGACTTAGCACGCTTGTCAAAGATCAGTTGACCATGAATTTGTGGGCTTATTTCTGTACTTTAAATTCTTTTCCATTGGTTTGCTTGTCAATTGTTATACTAGTACCAGCCTGTTTTGATTACTGTAGCTATATAGTATGTTTTAATGTCAGGAAGTGTGAGTCCTCTTTGTTTTGTTCTTTCAGCATTGTTTTAGCTATTCAAGGCCTTTTACCTTTCCGTATAAAGCTGAGCATTGGTTTTTCTAATTCTGTAAAAAAGAGTGTTGGAATTTAGATTGGGATTGGCATTGGATCTATAACTTTGAGTAGTATTGACATCCTAACAATATTAAACCTTTTTATCCATGAAAATGGAACGTCTTTCCATTTATTTAAGTCTTCTTTAATCTCTTTCTGCACTGTGTTTTAGTTTTTATTGTATAAGTCCTTCATGTCCCTGGTTAGATTTATTCCTAGATATTTTGTTCTCTTAGATACTGTTGTAAATGGAATTGTTTCCCTAATTTCCCTTTCAAGCTTCTTATTGCTGGTGTATAGAAACCCCACTGATTTTGTTGTTGTTGTTAACCTTGTACCCTACAACTTTATTGAATTCCTTTATTCACCCTAGATGTTTTCTTGTGGACTATGGAATTTTCTATCTATAGGATCATATCCATGAATAGAGATAATTTTAGTTCTTCTTTTTCAATCTGGATACCTTTTATTTCCTTTTCTTGTTTTATTGTTCTGGCTAGGACTTCTAATACAATATTGAATAGAAGTGGTGAGAGTGGGTACCCTTGTTTTGTTCCTAATTTCACAGGCAGAGTTCTCAGTCTTTCTCTATTAAGTATGATATTGGTGGTTAGGCTTTCTTACCCTGCTTTCTAAACTATGATTACTTGTTCTTAGTGATAGTTTTTTTTCCATATAGTTTTATTTGTTCTTGTTTCTCCATTGTAGAATTTTTGAAGAGTCAAAACTCTACATTTTCAAGGCTCTCTTTTAATAATTCTCTGGTAGCATAATGACATTTGTTTTTCCCTTTTTAATTTGGTTTTAAAATTTTAAGAACACAGTGTATATACAATTTTTAAACCATCAAATAGTTTTACGTAGTTTTGTCAGGACAGATAGTAGCCCCTGTTCCACATGCTATTTCATGAAGTGATGTTCAGCATACTTTTGAAGTTATTCCCCACTCTAAATAATATGGTTAACGTTCTGTATCTTGATTTTTCTTTCCTTTTTATTTTTTACATTTATTTTGCATGATTATCTTAAGATTGGTACCCATTAGTTTTCAGTCAAATATTTTTTTCCCATCCTATAGGTTATATTTTCATTATTATGGATGATGTCTCTTTATGCTTGAAGTTTTTAATTTTGATGATGTCTAGTTTGTCTTTTTTTTTTTTTCTCTTGTTGCTAATGCTTTTAGTGCCATATCTAAAAATCCATTGCCTAGAAGAATGTCTTTACCTCTATATTTCTTCTAAGATTCTTTACCTCTATATTTTCTTCTTCTAAGAGTTTTATAGTTTTAGCTTTTATATTTAGGTCACTGATCCATTTTGAATTAATTTTTGTATATGGTGTATGTAGGAGTTCTGGTAGCATAGTGCCTAAGGCACTTGACTGCTAACCAGAAGGCTGGTGGTTCAAACCCACGAGCCACTCCTTGGAAGGAAGGTTGGGCAATCTACTTCCGTAGTGATATTGCCTTGGAAACCCAAGGAGGGGTCGCTATGAGTTGGGTCCGACTCGACAGCACATGACAACAATGACGACAACATGGTGTATGTGCCCAATTTTATTCTTTTGCATGTGGAGATCCAGTTGTATGAACAACATTTGCTGAAGAGACTATTCTTCCCATATTAAATGGATTTGGCATTCATACAAAAGTCATTTACCATAGATATATGGGTTTATTTTTAGATTGTCAGTTCTGTTACACTGGTCTGTATGTCTGTCTTTGTAGAAGCACCACACTGTTTTGATTACTATAACTTTATAGTATGTTTTGAAACCAGGAAGTGTGAGTCCTCCTCTTTTGTTTGTTTTATTCAAAATTGTTTTGCCTATTTGGGACCCCTTGTAGTTGTTCCATGTGAATTTGAAGAGTTTATGATCTTAGTTTTTTTAATACATTTTAGTATTTACAGATAAAAGAGTAAACTTTATTTTTTGTTTTCAAAGGAGTATGATTTAATCTCCAAAGAACCAAAGCCTTTCGTATTTGAAGGAAAAGTTCGTGGTCCTATTGTTGTTCCTACAGCAGGAGAGGAACCATCTGGGAATTCATCCAACTTAAGGAAAGGTGTTACAGTGAATGAAAATGTATCAACTAAAGGAGGTGAAGATGATAAGAAGCCTACCTTTATGGATCTAGCAAAAGACAATGCTAAAGATAATGACAGAACATTACAACAGCAACGAGATGATCAAAATAGAACTATTTCACCAGCCCATGCTGTAAATAATGATATTGTCAAGGCCTTGGACCGTATTACATTGCAGAATATTCCTTCTCAAACACCCTTGGGCTTTACTCCAGGAACAAAGAAGGATTACAGCCTTCCTCTCACTGCCCTTACATGCACTAAAGCATGTCCGCACATGGCTACTTGTGGAAATGTTCTATTTGATGGAAGAACAGTTCAGCTAGGGAAGCTTTGCTGTGCTGGAGTTGAAACTGAAGATGATGAAGATACTGAGTCTAATTCATCAGTGGAACAAGTATCAGTTGATGTGCCTGATGGACCAACACTCCATGACTCAGATCTCTATGTTGAGATTGTGAAAAATACGAAATCTGTCCCAGAATATTCAGAAGTGGCTTATCCTGATTATTTTGGTCACGTTCCACCTCCATTCAAAGAGCCTATTTTAGAAAGGCCTTATGGTGTACAAAGGTGAGTTGCAGATTTCTTCTCTTTCTAGATAAGACCATTGTGAAAATACGAAGCATACTTTAGAAAAATTACTTTGGTATTCAGGAAGAAAATACTTCTGAATACCTCTGAATTAAAGCTACTGTAATATTTTACCTTCTCTTGGAAAATCTGCATTGCTTTGAAAATTTTCATTGTGCATTTATGTTGTTCATTTTCTAAGCTCATTACTTAATCAAAAGAAGCCAGCATAATAATCCTGAGCTTTGGGCAATTTAGGAACTTTTTATTTAGATTGGATTTAAAAAACAAAACATTGCTTCATAATCTCTGGATAAATATTGCTATTTATTTGGTAATTTGCTTACCATTTGAATTTGGTTTCGGTATACAGTTTAAAAAGAAAGTCTAAGTGAAGCAGTATAGATAGTATTATTTTCTTGTAAAATTTGAAATTTGAAATTGGAATATACAATGTTAATGAATTTGGGACTAAATAAAAGCAGTAATTAAGTATTTTGCCAGGTAATACTAGATATTACAAACAGTATTAAGTATTGCTAAGTAGTGAGTTACTTTATTTATTTTTTATTTATTAAGTATTGGTAAGTGGTGAGTTACTTGACATATAAATACCTTTTTGATGAGACTGGACTGATTTTAATGGTTATAGTTAAGTTTTTGTGATGATGGCATTATCTGTATAAAAACCGTTTGTATACTCTTGGTATCAGTATACTATGTAATGATAAAGGAAGACAGTGCTGTAAATACTTGATTCTTCTTAAGACAACAGCTATATCTTATTTATTTTATCTTTGGCATCTAGTATAATTCATCATATTTTACTTGGCAACTTAGTATATATTTTATGCTTCCAGTCATCTCCTTGCTTCACAGGTACGGAATCCTACACAACATAGCATCAGAGCAGGGGACTTACTTTACTGAGAAAGATGTGTGGAGTGGGTCTATACATGGCAGCCATTGGTTGTGTCACATAATGCCACCAGAGGCAGCTGGCCTCATAGAGTGCTAGAATTGCCTTTGAAAGGCACAGGTGAAGCTCCAACTCAGAGAACATACGCTGCAAGAATTGGTTACCATCTTTCAGGCTGCAGCATATGCCCTAATTTAGAAACTTCTTCATGACTCTGTATCCCCATTAGGAAAGATACCAGAAGGGCAGAGTAAGAAGAACCTTATTTACCATCACTCCCAGTGTCCTATGGGAAGACTTTGTGCTTCCTATCCCTATACCTGTCACCTCTGTGGAGTCAGAAGTCCTGGTCCCGAGAGTGGGTGCAGTCTTACCGTGGGGCTACAGTTACCACAGAAAGTATCCAGTTTAAGGGACCAGCAGGCAAGTAGAGGTTTTATTGTCTTGGCAGAGGTAATTGATCTGTACCAGCTGGAGGAGGTAGGGTTGTTTTTACACAATGGGAACAGGTAGGAACAAATGTGTGTGGAACTCAGGTGATCCACTTACTTGCAGTTTGGTACTCCCTTGCCCAATTTTAACTGTGAAAGGGCAGGTTGCAGCCACTCTTGATTGAAAATGGTATAATTATCAGGGCCTCAGATCTGTCAGGAATGAGAGTTTGGGTCACTTAGATCGGTTGCCAAGAGCTTCAGAAGTGATAGCTGACAAAACCAAACCAAACCAAAACAAACAAACTCAACTGCCATCGAGTCAATTATGACTCATAGTGACCCTCTTTGGGTTTCCAAAGCAGTAAATCTTTTTTTTTTTAAATTATTTTTTCTCTCTTTTTTTTTTATATTGTGATTTGGGTGAAAAATTACAGAGAAAATTCACTTTCCATACAGCAGTTCACATACACCCTGTCTCATGACATTGACCACCATTTACCACAATGCAACAGCTCCCCTCCCACTTCCTTCCGATAGTTACCTCTTCCCTGTGTCTATCCCTTCATGCACTCCTGCACCCTGAGCTGTCTCCCTGTGCATAAACAGCTCTTCGTTTCCCCATGATTGTTTTCTCCAAGGAGTGTATCTACCTCAGGTAAAATGTTCAACTCATATGCCTGTCTTTTGTTTGGCTGAAGCCACAGGTGTGGGTTCAATTCCAGACCTGAAGGGCAGCTAGGGGCCATAGTCTCAGTGGTTCCACCAGGCTCTATTGGACCAGCAAACCTGGTCCCCCACTTTTTTTTTCCCCAAATGATTTTGAGTTTTGTTCACATTGTTCTCCCTTTCTATCCAGGACCTCTTACATAGATCCCCTTCCAAGTGGTTGACAGTGGTAGCCAGGCACCATCTAGTTCTTCTGGTCTCATAGTCATATAGGCTGCAGATCGGATGCTGTACCAGTCGCTAGGACTACTTGTTTCCATGAATTTTTGTTTTTCTTCGTTCTTCTTTGCTCTGGATGAGGAGAGACTACTGTCCGAGACAGTAAATCTTTACAGAAGTAGATGGCCCAGTCTTCCTTCTGTGGAGCAGCTGGTGGTATGGAGATGATTGATAAGTTGTAGCCCTGAGGGCATGTACAACAATGGGGATGAAATATGTCTTGGTAATGTTACTCTTCTAAGTTTCCCCTTAAAGGAGACCCACAGGGACTGTGGAGGAGCTGCTTTTCAAATAGGAGTGAAGTGGATCTGTGTAGCTCAAGGAGTGGACAGTGTCAGCTAGAGCAATGAGCTGCTTAGATCTTCCTTGAAGAGGGAACCTTCTTGGAAACTTGTAGTGACTGAGAGGCTTTAGCTGCTATACTTTGGAATCTATCACAGTGTTGATTCTGAGGCCGGGTCCTCTCTGGGCTGCCAGTGATTAGAGCTGAGCCATTCCTGACCAGTGCAGGGACCTCTTAACAAGCAGTCTTTGCCCCATTGGCCTGGCAGAGACTTTCCCTACACTGCAAGGCAGACTGAGACTCTTACCACTTAATACTCTTTCCTTTCCCAGGTGACACACTTACTTCTCAGCTCATGGCACTTCTCACCTAGGATTCCTTCTTTGTTCTTCACTTACATTTCCCTCAGTAAATTTCTTGCATGTCTGATTATATCATGGCATCTGCTTTTTAAAGACTTGGAAAATAAGGAAATGAAAATACCCTGAGTCTTAACCATAAAGATATGTTCAACTTGATTCAAAATAAGACATGCTAGTAAGTTTCCAATTCCATTTTGATGAAATTTCTTTTTTTTTTTAATTTTAATTGTGATTTGGGTGGAGATTTACAGAGCAAATTCACTTCCCATACAGCAGTTCACATATACTTTGTCTCATGATATTGACCACAGTTTACCACAATGCAACAGCTCCCCTCCCACTTCCTCCCCATAGTTACCTCTTCCCTGTGTCCATCCCTCCATGGACTCCTGCTCCCTGAGCTGTCTCCCTGTATATAAGCAGCTCTTTTTTCTCCCATGATTGTTCTCTCCAAGGAGAGTATCTACTTGAGGTAAATGTTCAACTCATATGCCTGTCTTTTGTTTGGCTGGAAACCACAGGTGTGGGTTTAATTCTAGACCTGAAGGGCAGTTAGAGGCAATAGTCTCAGTGGTTCCACCAGGCTCTATTGGACCAGCAAACGTGGTCCCCACCTTCTTTTTTTTTTTCCCCTCCAAATGATTTTAAGTTTTGTTCCACATTGTTCTCCCTCTCTATCAAGGATCTCCTACATAGATCCCCTTCCAAGTGGTTGGCAGTGATAGCCGGGCACCATCTAGTTGTTCTGGTCTCATAGTCGTATAGGCTGCAGATCGGATGGTGTACCAGTCGCTAGGACTAATTGTTTCCTTTAATTTTGGTTTTCTTCATTCTTCTTTGCTCTGGATGAGGAGAGACCCATCGTTGCATCTAGATGGCAGCTTGATGAAATTTCTTTTTGATTACATTTAAAAACAACCCAAAAAACAACTCCTCTTTATGTAATCTCTGTCTTTTCAGGTCTTTACTGCTTCTAATAATGCTATTACTTTTCAGAATTACTTGCATGAATCTGCATCATTTCTATGTAGAAAGGTATAATTGACATTCAGGGTGTTTTTATTTTAGATTTTACTGTTGAGTTATATTCTACATGGTTATTTTCTAGAATGCAGACTGATAATTGAATTTTGTTTTGTTATTAATAATTTTTGTATATAAAATGCACATTTAGAGAATTAATTTTTTTCTTATGTAATTTTTATCATTTACATGTTTTTATCCAAAACTTGTTTTGGAGAAAGTTGTATGTTGGCATGTATAATAATGGCTTTTGATCAAGCTTTGTTCAGATTTCTTTTTTATGATTTCAGGACAAAAATTGCTCAAGATATTGAGAGACTAATACATCAGAGTGATATCATAGATCGAGTGGTATATGACTTAGATAACCCAAAGTGAGTTTGATTTTTTTTTTTTTAATTTTTGTTTGTTTTATTTTTGCTGTAAAATTTCAGTGTTATTTTTAAAATATTTAAGTTATAATTTACTTCCACCTAGTTTATCCTTACTGTGTTTTTATCTTTTGGTAGAGATGTAATGGTGAGTCATGGCTATTTACTTGAATGGATTATATCATAAGCTTTAGTTTGTTCTTAGGTAAATTTTTTAATGGGTTTAAGGCCAAGGTCACAAACTGATGCTCTGTTTTTAAAAAATTGAAATTAGCTGTACTAAGTCCCATGAAATGCTAGCTTGTCCCTTAGTGTTGGACCTTCATTTCCTTGGGGAAACAAAATGTCATCTGCTTTAGAAGGAACATATGCTTGTTATTCTTCATAGTTTCCACCACTCCTTCTTGTCTCTTACTGCTTATCATCTCCTTCAGTCATTTTAATTACCTGCCTGACCTATGTCAGTCGTGGTGTAAGTGTTCGTGTCTTTTACAGTTTAGGATTATTACTGACATCGCTACATTTTAGGATTTGAATATAAGTAAATAGATGAAAATTACAAATGTTGAATGTCACTATTATTTGCTCATTTGCCTCCCTCAACTCAGAAATTCTGTTAACCCTCAGCAGATTTTCCCCTGCCAACATTTTAATTTTTTAAGAGATCACATATTTTATTGACCTTCTTTGGAAGAAATAAAAGACTTTTTTAAGGTTTTTGTTAGAGAGGTAAGAGTAAAAATTACATCAAAGATAATGACTAAATTTGAGATATTCTTAAAAAAGAAAAGAAACATCTACGTTGCATATTTATAAATATGTTATTTCATGGTTTATATTTCTGTGTTTGGTTGATCAGGCAAAAACTCAAAAATCGTAAGTGTGGCATCCAGTGCTGTTTTTGCTGTTTGTAACTAAAATGACGTTGGACAAAATCGTTTAGCCTTTTAGTGTCTTAGTCTTCATCTATTAGAATATAAGCTCTGAAAGAGCAAGAATATTTGTGATAAATCAGGGACCAGACAGACAAATAGCTAGAAAAGTGCCTGGGACTTATTTGGCTCTTAGAAAATATCACTGATGCAATGATAATAATACTTGTTCCTTTTTGGTGCTAATTAAATAAGACAAAATAATATTTTTAAGTGAGAACTGCATTTTTTTTTTTAAGAATTATTGCTGTTCATATAGGTCATGAATTTTGAAAATTGGTCTGGTCTTTTCTATATGATAATGAATATTTTAGAAATAACATTTTTTTTAAGCCATGATCTTCTTCACTATAAAAGTAGGAATATATCTCTAATTATAATTTCTTGTCTATAAAAGTTAGCCAGAGTTTGTATTTTGCTTGTGCTGGTTATGTTCTCTGATTTTTTTTTTTTTTAAAGAAGAGGTTAAATGGCAGTGGCATATTTTTAATCTGTAACATAGTTTATTTTTTGCTCACCTGTATAAATAAGATTTATTTTGTTAAACTTTCAAAAATCTAGTTGCAGCATTCCAGAAGAAGGAGATATTTTGAAGTTTAACTCCAAATTTGAATCTGGAAATCTGCGCAAAGTCATTCAAATTAGAAAGTAAGTCATTTAAAATTTCTCATTTTGTATGTATGGTATTTTCTAATTTTCATCAGCTTTCTTTATTTTCTCTTTTCAGAAATGAGTATGATCTTATTCTGAACTCAGATATAAACAGCAATCATTATCATCAGTGGTTTTATTTTGAAGTCAGTGGAATGAGGCCAGGTGTTGCTTATAGATTTAATATCATCAACTGTGAAAAGTCCAACAGTCAATTTAACTATGGTAAGACCATTTTCTTTCCCAGTTGACAAGACTTGCAGGCATCTTAATTGTAAGACAGAACCTTTTTAAAAAATATGTTACCAAAATAATGTTTGAATATTATTTTTTATCTCTGGTTCTCAAAATTTATAATACTATGCAGAATTTGAAAGCTGGCTAAGCTTTGATTTGCTGATGAAAAGAATTAACGCTTGCAGAGGGCAAGCCATGACGTGTGGTTGATTTTATCCACAATGAATACAATTAAAGATTTATTATGAATGCTACTTAAAATCAAGTTTTTAATATCAGTTCATTGTGAACAGGATTACATGAGATAATCTGTTATTTTGGAATATAATAATTACAATAATAATTTTGAAATAATTATAAATGAGCAGGAAATTTAAAAATTATTATAAGGGCCCAGTTCTCTTCACCAAGTCTCTCCAATGGTTATATTTTACATAACAGTAGAATAAGGTCAAAACTAGGAAATTGGTATAATGAGAGGGTATATATAGTTCACTTTATCTTATTTGTAGATCCCTGTAACCATCACCACAATGAAAATAGAGAATGATTCCATCACCATAAAGATCTCCCTTATGCTACTTCTTTATAGTTCACCAATATAAGTATGACGTTTGCTATAGGTTTTCTGTAGAATTTTAAATCTAATAGAAGTTCCCTTTTATTTGTAATTCCTGAGAGTTTTTGTAATGGATGAGTATTACATTCTGTCACATTCTTTTAATCACTTGAAATTAACATGTGATTTTTCTTCTTTAACCCAGTGTGATGTATTACATTGATCCTTTTTAAAAATTTTATTGTGATTTGGGAAAAAGTTTACAGAGCAAATTCATCTTCCATAAAGCAGTTAATGTACACTTTGTCTCATGACATTGACTGCAATCTCCTGCAATACAACAGTTCTCCTCCCACTTCCTCCCCATAGCCACCTCTTCCTTGCGTCCTTCACTCCCATGCACTCCTGCCCCCCAGCTGTCTCCCTGTGCATACACAGCCCTTCTGTTCTTCCATGATTGATCTCTCCAAGGGGTGCATCTGCCTAATGTAAATGTTGAGCTCATATGCCTGTCTTTTGTTTGGCTGGAAGGCATAGGAGTGGATTGAATTCCAGACCTGAAAGGCAGCTAGAGGCCATAGTCTCAGTGGTTCTACCAGGCTCTATCAGACCAGCAAACCTCTGGTCCCTTTTTTTAGTAATGATTTTTTATTTTTGTTCCACATTGTTGTCCCACTCTATCCAGGATCTCCTACATAGATCCCCCTCCAAGTGATTGACATACATTGCTTCTTAAATATTGAAGCAGCTTTGAATAAACCTGGTCATAGTGCATAAATTGTGCATATTGCTGAATGCTGTTTGCTCATATTTTATAAGAATTTTTGCATTTATATTAAGGAAAGATATTGATCTGTAGTTTTCTTTTTTGTGTACACTATCTGATTTTAGTATCATAGGAATATTGACTTCATAAAATGGAGGGTTTTTTTTCCCCCTTTCCCTTATTTTCTGGAAGAGTTTATGTAGAATTGGTTTTGATTTTTCATTAAATATCTGGTGGAATTCTCCAGTGAAACTCTCTGGTCCTGGAGATTTTTTATGAGGGATTTTTTCAAATTAACAATTTAATTTCTTTAATAATTATACCATGAAACATAAACCCGTTGCCATTGAGTTGTTTCTGACTCATAGCAACCCAGTATGACAGAGCAGAACTGCCCATAGAGTTTCCAAGGTAGTAAATCTTTATGGAAGCAGATTGCCACATCTTTCTCTGATGGAGCAACTGGCTAAGTTGGACTGCCAGTCTTTCAATTAGTAGCTGAGCAGTTAGACCACTATGCTACCATGGCTCCTTTAATAGTCAGAGGGTTGCAACAAAGGCGTGATGGCAACATCCTCTTACCTCCTCTAACTTCATGAGTGGGAGAAAGAGAATTGCCATCAGCAGCCCAAGGCTGATTACTATGAGGTAAGAGTAAGACATACTATCACCCTCCAACATTTTTAACAACTCTGACACCAACAGTCCCTTCCATGGCACTCACTACTACTTTGCAGGTTCGATAGTTCATTGGGATGGCCATAGAGAACTCACAGACAATGCTCACAATTATGGGGTTTGTTAGGGAAGTAAGAAGTTCCAATTCAGGTTCAGGAATATCCAGGATACAATTGTTCTATCAAGACAGCCTCCCCTCAGCCATACCCATAGCCATTCCTCTCTCTGGCCCATGGCCTCTTAGCATGGCCTCTACCATTCTTAGGAAAGTGTTACAGAGCTCTTCTAGCTTAGCTGATAAATGTAGCTAGATGTATCCCACTCTGCCAGCAAGCCTTCTGCCAAAAGGCACTCAGCTTTCTTGTTCCGTGGGCTAGAAAGCCTGCCGCCATGTCTTATGCCAGTCTCTCCATTCTGTTGATGCCATTTCCCTGCTATTGTCTCAGAGCAGAAATCTGAGGTCCAAGGATGTGCTCTACTCCCAGTTTCTCTCTCTTGATGGCAGTGAGATCCCCCTTTCTTTCTGTAGGAGGCTCATTTTAAGCCTAGCAGAAAGACAAAACTGACAGATCCTCACATTAGGTTCCATACAACTCATTTGCACAGTCACACCCCCACAAGGGTGCCATGTACCTTATTTATATTACTGAGAAACTATCCAGTCCTTCGGTGGGCCATAAGCACTTTACATTTGCATAGTTCCACCCAGTCATCTGGTGGGAGTCACAAAGACCATGGCTAGAGGAGCTGTATGAAGTAATTTACTGCACCACATATGTAGCTTGTATTTGGTGAGTTGTGAAAGGTTGTACTTTATGGGGAATTAGGCCATATAATCTGAATTACCAGATTTTTGTTTAGCATTGTTCATTGTATTTATTTATTATTCTTTCATTGTCTGTAGGGTTTGTAGTGATGTACCTCATTTCATTTCTGATGCTGGTAATCTGTCATCTCATTTTTTCTTTGTTAGTCTTGCTAGATGTTTGTCAATTTCATGGATGTTTTCAAAGAGCTACCTTTTTATTTCATTGGTTGTCTGTACTGTTTTTTTCATGCGGCATCTTTTAAAACTGGTGGTGTACCAGCAAAAATCTTAAAAAAAGTATAGCCTCACTTAAGGCTTTAGGGTTTAGACATTTAATAAATACAAAATTAAGAGTTATCAGATATCTGATCTTTTAAGTCAAACATTTTGTCAGTGGAAGATAGTATAATTATACAAATCCAATATCAGTTACTTGAAATTGAACATCAAATTTCAAATATTTAATTTGTTAATAGTACATTTTTATGTAAAAGAAAAGAAATTTTTCAAACTTGTAATGGTACAAGTTAGCATTCTTTCTTATTTATAGGCTAAAAGCTTTTTTCAGATTTGTTTATGTAATGTAATAGTTTCAGGAAGATTAGATGGTTAGTTTTAAACATTTTCAAAGATTCTAAAATGTTTTAAGTGATCTAATTCTTAAATGATTTATTTTTTAATATTTGTGTTTTGATGAAAGATTCAGTGGTTATACTGACTTGCACAAATAGTGATATGAATACACTCACTCTTACTTATCAACATGGTTAGGGCCAAAGGTCAAGTCATTATATGAAAATCAATGTCATGTGAAAATGGAGGATAACTACATTATTACATAACTGCCAAACCACTGAGAATCATGGCCAGACTATGTTGACACATAACGTTAACTATCACAGCCAGTGTTATTCTCACCTTACACTTTGGCATTTGCTACTGTGAGATGTACATTGTTAATTTGTAAGGCAGTTGGGTAGTAGATATTTTACTATTTCATAAATGTGAGATGTTGGATAATGAGATAGTGCATAAGTGAGGAATAGGTGTGTTCTTGATACTCACCTTCTTTACTTTTATGATTTTAGACTATAACTACTAATCATTGAATATGATATTTATTGAAGATATTAGCTTCCTGTTACTAAACCTTCATATAACTTTAAAAATTACCTTAATTGAAACTCTTTAAAAATTTTCACTTTTTTTTGAGTTTATAGTCTAGTTTAACATCCTTGTTGTTCTAGGGTTTTTATTATTTTGATTTAATATTATAATTTAACATTCTGTGTTTTTTGAAAAATAATTAAAAAATTTGTTTTTCACCTGTTCATTTCTGTTGAATAGTGTGCTCTGACTATTATTTGGGATAATTTTTAATTTTTATCAAGTGGGAAAAAAATGCCCATTGAATTAAACGTCTAGGAAAATTTGAGCAAGATTAACTTTTTATTAAGGTGCCATTTAGAAAATAGTGTTTAGTTTGGTTTGTTCAAGGTTTTTAGGCTTTCACTTTCTGTTTTAGTTGTCTTTTTATAAGTTTTACACATTTGTATTTACCTTTATTCTTAAGTATTTTGTGTATTTTTGTTTGTTTCTGTTGTAAAAGAATGTTCCTCCTTGTTTTCAAACTGGTTGTTATTTATAATTAAGAAAGCTATTGATTTTAATATATTGTTTGAAAACCAACCTCCTTACTCAACTTTCTTATTAGTCCTCATAGTTTCTCAGTTGATGCTTTGAATATTCTTTAGTAGGTTCCTAGAATACATTCTTATACATAGTTACATTGTGTATCTTTCATTATTTCATTGGTTTTGGATAGAAGTTTGAGAATGTCTAATTTAAAATAAAAAGGAGACATTGGAAATTCTTGTTTTTAATGTGAATATAGCTGGTGGTAACATTTAAGTCTATTAACTCATGTTTTGAGATACATATTCTATTTCATTGTAAAGAATTTCAATTTTTAGTAAGTTTTAGGAGCTCTGGTAGCATAGTGCCTAAGGCACTTGACTGCTAACCAGAATGCTGGCAGTTCAAACCCCCCCCAGCCACTCCTTGGAAGGAAGGTTGGGCAATCTACTTCCGTAGCAATACTGCCTTGGAAACCCAAGGAGGGGTTGCTATGAGTTGGGTCCAACTTGACAGCACATAACAACAACAGTAAGTTTTAG